TCTGCATTTTGGTGGCATGTGTGAGTTCCGGTGGAGCATTCGTTGATGTCTAAAAGAGGAATCGGTAAAATAGCGTCTTCTAATTGTCGTATAATTGTTATATTAAAATTCGATTTATTCAGATTGATTCACTCATATGTGTTTGAATCAATAAATCCATGGCATAATTTGTATTCATAATTTACCTGTACAGACTTGACCACTTCCAGTAAAACCACCACGACATTGACATGTAAAAGAACCAACAATATTACGGCAATCTGCATTTTGGTGGCATGTGTGCGTCCCAGTGGAGCATTCGTTGATGTCTAAAAGAGAATTTAGGAAAATAGCATCTTCCGGCTATCGAATAGTTGGCATAAAATAAATAAAATATTTTTTCGATTGTTTTCCAGACATTCAAGTTCAAAGTTCAAGTTTAAAGTTCAAGCTCGTTCGGATGTTTTAGTTCAAAGTTCACATTCCCTGCTTCAAATCACCAAGTAATACCGATAACATGTGACCGCGAAAATTACCTGTGCAGCCCTGACCATTTCCTATAAAACTACCACGACATAGACATGTAAAGGAACCGACAGTGTTGCTACAATCTGCATTTTGGTGACAGGTATGAGTCCCTTTCGAGCATTCGTTGATGTTTATAAAAGAAGGATTCGTAAAATATCGTCTATCAGCCATCACGTCATTGGGATATCACAATCAATCACAATTTTTTTTTCGATTCGAATGAAGGCCCTCCTTCGGGATGTTAGTAGCTGAAATGTGTTGCTAATATAACTTTCCGACGAAGAGTCTTCGTCCAAAATGTCGAATTTTTAAAATATTTTTTCAGGTAGTTGTATCTTCTATAAACTCGTAGTTCGACCTGCACTGACACCAACTGTTCCCGATAATATGCGCGTTCATAATATTATTTACCTGCGCAGACTTGACCACTTCCAGTAAAACCATTGCGACATTGACATGTAAAGGAACCAATGGTGTTACTACAATCTCCATTTACGTGGCAGGTATGAATTCCGGTAGAGCATTCGTTGACGTCTAAACGAAGGATTCGTAAAATATCGTGTTCCTGCTGTCACATAATTGGGATATCAAAGCAAATCGAAACGTCGAAGTTTTTTCATATTTTTTAGATAGTTGTATCTGCTATAAACTGGTCCTTCTATCTACACTGACACTAACTGTTCCCGATAATATGCGTCAATTATTTGATTTATTACCTGTGCAGACTTGACCACTTCCTGTAAAGCCACTGCGACATTGACATGTGAAGGAACCAACAATGTTACTACAATCTGCATTTTGGTGGCATGTGTGAGTTCCTTTAGAGCATTCGTTAATGTCTGAAAGAGGAATCAGTAAAATAGCGTCTTCTAGCTATCATGTATTTGTCATATCAAAAATCGATTTCTTCCCATGGATTCACTCCAATGAGTTCGATTCAATAAATCCATGGGATAATTTGTATCCATATTTACCTGTACAGACGTGACCACTTCCAGTAAAACCACCATGACATTGACAAGTAAAGGAACCATCAGTGTTGCTACAATTTGCATTTTGGTGACATGTATGAGTTCCTTTGGAGCATTCGTTGATGTCTAAAAGAGGAATCAGTAAAATAGCGTCTTCTAGCTATCATATAATTGTTATATCAAAATCAGTTCAATTTATTCCCATGGATTCACTCCAATAAGTTCGAATTAATAAATCCATGGGATAATTTGTATTCATAATTTACCTGTACAAACTTGACCACTTCCAGTAAAACCACTGCGACATTGACATGTAAAAGAACCAACAATGTTACTACAATCTGCATTTCGGTGGCATGTGTGAGTTCCAGTGGAGCATTCGTTGATGTCTAAAAGAGAAAATTTAGGAAAATAGTATCTTCCGCTATCAAATAATTGGCATAAAATAAATAAAATATTTTTCGATTCCTTCCCGGGCATTAATGGCTTCAAATCATCAAGCAGTATAGCAATAACGTGTAACCGCTAAAATTACCTGTGCAGTCCTGACCACTTCCTGTAAAACCACCACGACATTGACATGTAAAGGAACTGACAGTGTTGCTACAATCTGCATTCTGGTGGCAGGTATGAGTTCCTTCGGAGCATTCGTTGATGTCTATAAAAGAAGGATTCGTAAAATATCGTCTACCAACCATCATATCACTGGGATACCAAAATAATTCAACTTTTTTACGAATCGACTGAATGCCTTCGTTGGGATGTTAGTAGCTGAAAAGGGTTACTAATATAAGGGTCTTCGTCCGAAACGTCGAAGTTTTTTTTAATATTTTTTTAGGTAATTGTATTTTCCATAAACTCATCGTTCTACCCATACGGACACAAACTGTTTCCGATAATATGCGTTCATATTATTATTTACCTCCGCAGACATGACCATTTCCAGTAAAACCACCATGACATTGACATGTAAAAGAACCAACAATGTTACTACAATCTGCATTTTGGTGGCATGTGTGAGTTCCGGTGGAACATTCGTTGATGTCTAAAAGAGAATTTAGTAAAACAGCGTCTTCCGGCTAGCACGTAGTTAGCATATTAAAATAAGTAAAAACTTTTTTCGATTCCTTCCCGGGCATTCATGCACGGCTTCAAATTAATCAAGCAATGCAGATAAACATGCGACCGCTAAAATCACCTGTGCAGTCGTGACCACTTCCGGTAAAACCATTCCGACATTGACATGTAAAGGAGCCGACATTGTTACTACAATTTGCATTTTGGTGGCATGTGTGAGTTCCTTCGGAGCATTCGTTGATGTCTAAAACAAGAATGAGTAAAATAGCGTCGTCTATAGCTATCACATAACTGGGATATGAAAGCAGATAAAAATTTTTTTCCGTTTCGAATGAAGGCGTCTTCGTTTCAAGCGAAGTGAGCGTCGAAGTTCTCTTATATTTTAATTAGGTAGTTGTATCTTCTATAAACTCATTGTTCTACCTACAAAGGTATCGACCGTTCGCGATAATATGTGTCTCTAATTTACCTGTACAGACCTGACCACTTCCAGTAAAACCACCACGACATTGACATGTAAAGGAACCAACAGTGTTACTACAATCTGCATTTTGATCGCATGTGTGAGTTCCTACGGAGCATTCGTTGACGTCTAAAAGAGGAATTAGTAAAATAACATCTTGCAACTGTTACATAATTAGCATATCAAAAGTCGATTAATTGCAATGAATTCACTCCCAGTTCCATGAGCTCTGATTAAAAAATCCGTGACATAATTTACCTGTACACACATGACCACTTCCGGTAAAACCATTGCGACATTGACATGTAAAGGAACCATCAATGTTGTTACATTCTGCGTTTTTGTGGCATGTATGAGTTCCTTTGGAACATTCGTTGATGTCTAAAAGATAAATTAATTTGGTAACATAACGTCTTCCAGCTATTTTTTGACATGAAAGAATTACTTAATGTTGACTTGACTGCCTAAGGGAGGTACAATTTTATTGAAATATGGTGTCGAAAATTAGAACACGTGCCAAGATCCAGTTTTGAAATATTTAATACCTGTACAAAGTTTTCCATCCCCACGATACCCGGTAGAACAACTACAGTTGTACGAACCAGGAATGTTGAAACAATCTGCGTTTGAGTGGCATTGATTTGTTGATTCCTTGGAACATTCATCAATGTCTGGTAAAATAATAAAATGAATCAAGTTTAGGAATGTAACAATAATTTAATTTATTTCCAGATATTTGTTCACTTCGTGTTTTTAAGCAGTTGCAAGGGGCTTCAATCGGTTCAGACCTCTGCAGCTATGATTATTTTCAAAGGAAAAAGTATGAGCATGTTAGCTCTCTACCGCTCTACTTATTTGTTTATATTGGCTCCCAGGATTATATCTAATTTCTGCACCTAGATTATGGAACTCAATGGCATCAAAATTACAGATAGATCCCTTTAGTATATACTTTTAAAAAATATCTCAAGACTTAGCTTTTTACTCTTAATCTTTCTACTAATTAGGTTCAAGCTGAATATTTAATTCTGTCAAATTTTATATGTATATATTGTTTGTCCTTCATATTACATTTTTATCCCGCAATTAACACCACGTAAATTCTACTATTATCTTAGTATTTAATAAATTTGCAATTTATTATCTTCTTCAAAAGCGCTATTGGACTTTAGGAAATGGGACTGTATAAAATTACAATTATCATTGTTATATAACTAGGGTGAACACCAAACGTGATCATTGGCTCATTTGTGGTCACGTGACTCTAGATAAATGTAATGTATCCCGGGCAACAAGTGAAAAATTGTTGCCCGCCCCGACCGGCTACGTGCATATAAATAAACAAAATGGCGGCACAACTCGCAAGTATATAAACTACGATTTTCCAAGTTTATGTTGAAATAAAGAATGTAAAATAAAAGAAAATTAAAATACACAACAGGCAACAGGATATGCTGCTGAAACCGTTTTAAGTAGGTTAGTTTTGTTTCTTCTCGAATCTCAGTACTACTACTTCCTTGACTTCTTCTCGAGAAACATTGAGATTCTCTGGAAAACAAAACTAACTATTTCCCTCGAAAGCAGATATTAAGTGTATATTTTTTATTATTATCATTATTATTAGACTGGCGCTGACCATTCGAGATTATACCTCTGCAGCTTTTTCCATTCCCCAAAAATCCAGTGTGGCACAGGCAATTGTAGGAACCTGGAGTGTTAGTGCAATTTGCGTTCATGTCACATTTATTTTTCGATTTCTTGGAACATTCATCGGTGTCTGGCAAAATAATAAAATAATGCAAACTTTGAAAGTCTCAGTTAGGCTGACATTTATCTGACAATCATTCAAGGCCCTGTTCACATGATCCCGGGATAAACAACTGCCCGCGACAAGTCATTGACCCGGGATACTGATATCTTCTGTTCACATGAACAAAGCTAGCGCGGGTCATGCCTATAAATACATTACGCGGCAATCATGAAATATTCCCGCCAACGTGAAACGGTGAAATACTGCTAAATAAAGAACATTCTGATAAACGCAAGTCGTATTTTATGTTATGATATTTACAAATAGACCGTAGTTGATTATCGGCCGTAATAAAATGTGCTCAATTCATTGTTTCTGGTTGACCAGATCAAATTTTTTGAGTAGCATACTACACTTCTTGGTTTCAAACATGATATTAGCGACAATTTTATTTTAATATTATTAGAATCATCACTTATAGATTTCTATAATGATGTCTTCAATCAAATAACAAGTTTTTGTGAAGTGCAACGTGCTCTAAATGTAATTTTAACCGCGATTTTGATCGTTTTACTAAAAATTCAATTATCCCGGGATAAAGTTGCCCCGGGCCAAAGTGTTCATATGAGGAAAAGTTGTCCCGGCTAGGCGAGTGTCCCTGTCTACAGAGGCGAGGCACTCGGGTCAATTCTTGTCCCGTGACAAGTAGAATATCATGTGAACAGCACTATTCATTCATTAAGGAGCCGAGACAATTTTTGTCCCGCGACAATTGCCTGCCCCGAGACATAACGATATCCCGGGTTCATGTAAACAGGGCCTTAGGGCCTGTTTATATGAGAGGCGGGACGGGACGTTTGCCGGGACGGGACGATTTATACATCTCGGGTTGAGAGCTGTTTACATGATCCCGCTTTGCCGGGACGAGATGTGAGGCGGGATGATTTTGGCGTATTGAAATAAGTCACGGTGCACGATTTAGCAAAATGACATTATTTTTCTAGTGATAGATTACAGTATAATTGTAAACGAAAGGTTGTTCAAGCTGCAATAATAATCTTCTTGAACTACGAGATCTTCTCTAATAACATTTGAGTTTCTTTCACTGTTGTTTGAAAGTTCGTTTAAGCCTAGTCATTTATTTCAATACACCAAAATCATCCCGCCTTCCATCCCATCCCGGCAACAAGTGTTTACATGGAAGAAAACGTCCCGGTTGAAGCGGGATCCCGGTTGCACTTGCACAAACCGGGATCCCGCTTGCCTGGGACGGGACGAAAAACGTCCCGCTTCCATATAAACATCTGGTGATAAATATAATAGAAATTTATACGAGCCGGGATCCCGTTCATCGTCCCGTCCTGGCAAACGTCGCGTCCCGCCTCTCATATAAACAGGCCCTAAGAAGGTCGTTAACGTTGACTAGTGTATAGATATAGGGAGCATTCTTTTTGGGCCATCCTGTGTTACCTTTTTTGCAAAGCTCTCCTTCGTACCCCTTTTTACATATGCAGATGAAAGGTTTAACTGGATTCCATGTCATTTTACCGCCATTATGACATTCATTGACTTCACCTCTGCAGGATGCCTGGAAAATACCGCATAACATGGTCAGAAACTACTTGTATCCAATCTATAGGGTTAGTTCAATATTTCAGCACATATTCGTGAGAATTTATAATTTTGTTATTCTGAGTACATTTATATATATATATACTTTAACCAAGATTTCTGCCCCATTCAACTTGTCATGTTATAGGCAATACTATAAAGCAATTAATGCATTGCCGCCTATTGATCCACCAATGCGAGTACATTCCATGTAGAAAAATGACCTTTTTTCACCTAATCATGGACTAACACCTGTTTTCTATGTTCCAAACGCATGAGAAACTATGGAATTTTGAACTTAAATATGCCGTAATAATGTGTGAACGATTTGGAGACAAATTCAGGAAAAAGGGACATCTTTCATTTGTATAATGCATGCAGAATTTTGCTGACGGGAACTTTTTATTTATGGGGACTTGTATTAGTTTCTTTGAGTGTAGGTGTTTTTTATAAACATTTTTCTGAAATTGCAAAATTAGCATTTCATGGACTTAACATGTTTTGAAATATTTCAACCCATTAAGTCGCATTACGCTCTAATACGCTCTGATTTATTATTTAACTGGCGTTCATTGGGTTAAAGAGATTTTTCCTTCACCTCCAGATTTGATCGATTGGAGAGCAAAACTTAATTTGGAAAAGATCACCGGCTTTTTGTCATGAAACTGAAGTTTTAACTGTCGGTTTGTAAAACCCTGATTTTCGGACCTATGTGAACTACCCCCCTCCCCCCCCTAACATTTTTCATTTTGATGAAAATGAACCATTTTTGGTACAGGGCTTGCTCTATTGCTTGTAAAATCAAGTTTCCATACATTTGTTGATTCTACTGTGTCAGATCACTGTCCGACGATGGTTCAAATTTTGTGAATTCTAGGATGACTATAGCTCCCCCTTAAAAGCCAACCTACACTTTGTTTGCGACGCTCATGAAATATATTTTTATGTTTACCACTTGACTTCGATCCACATTATCCTTTCGAAACGTCCAAACTCGGTCCTTTTTCCTGACGTTTTTGTCAAATGTAGGTTCCGTCGTGTTTGTCAATTGGCAGTTCGGTTCATCTCCCTCAACTTTCTCCTTGTAGTTCATGGCGACACAGAAGCGGTGTTCTGCGCAATGAAGACCACAATGCCTATAAGTTGGTTCTTTGAATTGAGCGATGATGTTGGTTGTTAATCTTGACACACCTAAAATAATTAACAGTTATTCTACGAACTCGAGTCGAATATGAGCTGATAGCCGATGAGGCGCGTAGCGCCGAATCGGCTATCGCTCATATTCTACAAAGAGTGAGTGTAATAACTGTTTTATTATATACACAAGGTCTGAATTCACAGACTTTGCTTTTCGGGTATTCTCAATATTTTTCTGTTTTGTTTATGTTTGTATCTTCGCTCTTTCGGCCGATTAATTTTTCAGAAATATATTTTTTAACCATTTTAAATTTTAAAAATTCATTTGCTAACCTGTAAACAATTTGTGGGAGTTTTTTCATTGTGTCTTTAATCCTGAAAGGGCTATAAAAAGCGGACAACTTGCCGTTTTCTCGTTCGCAAAACATCGGACATTCAGTTTCAGCCGCCATTTTGTTTTTCTCTACTAGCAGGATATGAGCTAATATCCTGGTAGTAGAGAACCAATCAGATTGCAGAATACTTCATATCCAGACCTTGTGTATATAATAAATTAATTTATTCACACATATATTTCTTTACGAAATCTCACCGTATAGCTCCATGTTTGACAAAATAGTGTCAACGCGAATGGAGGTATATCTTAATCAACAATAAAATTTTGCAGAAATGAAATAAAGATAATGTAAGTTGTTTCACAGCTGAATTTTCATTATTCCCTCTCCTGGACGAGGGTGATAATCGCTGACAAAATTTGTCGATAAGTTTTGATACTTATTTGCACAGTGCCGTTCGATTCAAACACATTTAAACTTTAAAGCAAGGCCGTTTTAAGAGTTCGTCCGTAGGTGGGGGGGGGGGGCATCTACAAAAATGATCATACTATACTAAGTATGGAGAGATGACAGATGGTTGTTGATGGTTGTTGGTGTCGTACCAGGGGGGTTCTGGGAGAATTCTCCCGCAGAACAGTTTTTGGTTAGCAATATTTTCGTCGATGTCTGTACCTTTACTCGTAATTAAGGTGCACATGTTTTGCATTATATCATTGTCTATTGCAAGAAAACAGAAAAACTATGATCGAATTACAGACATCAGTAAAACAAGATGACACTACTCGTACCCGTACACCGAAACCGGGATATCTTAACCTCTCTATTTTTGACATCGCACTAGATATAACTAATTGTTGAAGAAATCTCTATACATTTATTGGCCCTAACCAGGTGCATTTGCAAAAAGAGCAACTGTTGGCCGTCTGGCAAAAATCGGACCACCACTGGAATTGTTGGGCCGCATATTACCAGACGAGACTTTGGCAGCTTTCTATGCAAACGACGCTAAATTGTACAAGTCATCACATAGCCAACCCGACGATCAAGTCCCGCTATGAAAAATATTGCCATGTTTATAAACTGTCAAAACAATCAATTTCTAAATAAATTAATGATGATGAGTTGAAATTTGCATAGCGGGACCAAATCGTCGGGCTGGCCGGCTACGCCACTAATTGTGAAATTTAACAGATCTTGACTGCTGCAGCCGTGACAACAACCTCGATTTTAACGAGTCGAAGTGTTACCGGGTGTTGACAAATACAAGAAAAATCCCCGCTGACGTACGTACGCATTTCATGTGGGCTCAAAGGAACTTACTCGTGTGCCTAAGGAAAAGGATCTTGATGATGGGACGATTATTTTTATACCATCACCGCCAAAGGGAAGAAGATACTTGGGACGCTCAAAAGAACTCGCCCTCTATTAACTAATACAGCAGTGAAGCGGATGCTGTACTTAGTGCTCGTCGTGAAGTCGCAGGACTAAGTTACGCTACCGAAGTCTGGTATCCATCTACCATTAAAATGAGATCCAGGGTGGAAAGTGTACAAAGGAGAGCCACATCTTGGACACTGCAAACTAAGCACGGAGAAATAACCTTTATAAACAACGGCTGATAACCCTTGGCTTACTATCCTTGTTCTACAAGAAAGAAATAAAGGAGTTGGTGTTCTTTTTTAAAGCGCCGTATGGTCACGTATGGTCATATCGATTTTGATGTATATAGCTTCATTTCATTCGTCAACAATGGCCGAACACGGCTTAGTCATAATCCTTCTCACGCTCAAAGTTCCTTTCTGTAATTCCAAGACATTCCAATCCTCATACTTCAATCGCCTTATCGAGTCATGGATCCACGTTTGCAAAATTTTTCCCTCTAGCACCTTCGCCAGCCTTTCGGCCTTCAAAAGATCTCTTAAAGCCGCATACGGAAACTTGATTATGACAACATTTGATGTAGACATGCCATGCACGTAGACACTGGTGCGGGACTGCCCGTGCCACAGATCCTAAATAGTTTTATTACATATGGTCCTCCTATTGGGTTCATTGAATGCAATCACTTTATACTTTGCCAGTATTATATTATTATACAAACACATTTGAGCACTTTGGATCCAGCTGTATCCCCTGTTGTGAACTCACCACACAGAGTTCCAGAAGCCCTCATGGAACCTCTGAAGAAGGAGCTTGATTCAGGTTGAGCAAGGAATCCTAGCAAAGGTAGAACATCCTACAACTCTTTGGTTTGAGTAGTGAATAGTAATGGTACTTTGTGACTTTGTTCGAATCCAAATAATGTACTTTCGAAGTTGAGTGGTGCTAAGTGTTTTTCAATTCTAGATTTTCTGAGGGTCTTAAACCTGCTATAGATCTGCAAAAGATTGAGTCCATTCTTACCATGGATCCCTCCGGTAGTATAACGGATCTACGAACATTTCTTGGAATGGTACAGTTCCTGAGTCAGTTTATATCAAATTTGGCAACATTGGCGGCAAACCTCTGGGCGTTAACGTAGGCAAACATTGCGTTTTTTCTGGTGTCCGGAGCTCCCAGACCGCAGTCGACGCCTTCATGAAGACAATTACAGCTTCAATATCATTGCAGCTTCAATATCATATTTTAATAGAACAAAGCTTGTTATGATTCAAGTGGATGCCTTCCAGCATGGCATTGGTGCTGTCCTTTTGCTGGATAGATGTTCAGTCGAATTTGCAAGGATGATGTTATCGGAAGCAGAGAAGCGTTAATCCAACGTAGAACAAGAGATGTTAGAAGTGGTCTACAGTCCCGAAAAGTTCCAGTATTATGCGTATGGTAGACCTGTCGTGATAGAATCTGATCACAAGCCGCTTTGAGTTATTTTTAAGAGACATTTGCACCACCAAGAATGGTGCCAAAATTTTCGGTAACCACTGAGTATTCTAAGAAAATACAATACAATGGAAACTCCGAAGAAATTCATATTTTTAATTCAACGTTTCGACTACTGTTGAGCCATTATCAGGAATTATGAAAGCTACTAAAAAGATCATCTTATATCACACCTGTATATATAACTTATGTATATATAATTTTTAGAAGCTTTCATAATTCTGATGATGACTCAACAAGTAGTCGAAACGTTGAATTAAAAATATGAATTTCTCCGGAGTTTCCATTGAATTGTATTTTATATCAGAATGATGCTTCGTATACAAAAGTATAACGCAGAGATCAAGTATGCACCTGGCAAGGACATACCAGTTGCTGACGCTCTGTCAGTAATAAGCTCTTATTATGGAAACACTGTTGACGGACTGTATGCGATTGAACATAAAGTTCTTCTGAATCTTAATGTAAGCCCAACAAGGATTCCCCAGATCCAAGATAAAACAGCCAACGACACAGACCTGAGCAGTTTATGGAAGATTGTTGCTCTCAAAACTTATGTGCCTACTGAAATTACCGTGAAGAGTTGACTCTGCCAGAAGGTATGATATTAAAAGGCTCGTGCATTGTTATTCCCAAGTTTCAAGATCCAAATGTATTGCAACAATTACACTATGCCCATCAGAGTGCGGAAGCGAAGGTCATTTGAAGTTGTTGTTGTTGTTGTTGTTGTTGTTGTTGTTGTTGTTGTTGTTGTTGTTGTTGTTGTTGTTGTTGTTGTTGTTGTTGCTGTTGCTGTTGCTGTTGCTGTTGCTGTTGGATCGTGGATCATTAATATTGCATCATGAACCATTATTGCTCATCTCAAATCCATCTTTGATATCGAACAATGGTTCCCAATACAATCAAAATGCTGCAATGGACCGCCTTACCGTATAATAAACAGCGTTATAAGATTAAAATTCACTGTGTTCATGTATCACTACGATAAAATTATTGCAGTCATATTGTAGACGTCCAAATTCTGTATATCTAGAATCTTATGATAGCTTAACATGTTAAACCTCGTATCATCTCATATATTCATTCTGTATATATAGACTTAAGGTAGCCCCATATACTAATCCGCACAAAATCTTTTCTACAAGAACGCGAAAACATATAACATCATGCTCGTTGTGTGTTGCTGAAGCAATCTCGCGCCATTACGTGTGTTGTTTACTGTGAGAAAGCTCTATATAATTACTTATCTGCAGCAAGAACTTCGGTCATTCAGCCTATAAGAAAAGTGAAGCCAGATGGCTGCTGAATTGACCTACAAAGTCCATGAAGATCGTTTTTGAAATAGTTTTGAAAAACAATGCGTCATATACAACCAGTTCAAAAGGGATGTCCTTTGCAAATCTTAAACTCTAAACCTTAAACCTTAAACTATAAGCGCGCAAAGCTAAATGGGAGTACAAGCTTCAGGCTTAGTAGTTGTATATTGTAGCTATTTGTGAATGAATTGTTCTCGTTAGGAGATATTTACCATGTCTCTAAGAAATGGGCCCCATATATGATTAAATGATGGTCCCATTATGCTTTTGCACGCTTAGAGTTTAACGTTCAAGGTTGCAAAGAACAACCTTTTTTGAATTGGCTGTAGGCCTATATCTCATATTATTACGTCCGGTGACCTACGGCTCAATCTTTACACGCTGTATTGTAGTACGAAATCTATCGAAAACATTTTATCGACTGTAAC